AGTAGGAGAATTTAAGTAAGAAAGGAATGATTGCCATGTTGCAACAAAAGGTAAACTTGATGCACAGTCAAATTGACTAGCTGTGTAAGTTAATGAGGAGGAATCAAAATGGTCAGTCATATAATCCATCCCTCGGTGGTGATCATGGGCACTCATTATCATAGGCTATTTTTAGGAAAAGTTTGTTTTGTACGATTTGAATATTCTCAGTTAAAATCCATGTGACTTTTGTTATGGTGGACTTAATTAATGTGGTGTGCTTAAGACTATAAGAATATGTATTTTGTATTGAGTATTTTGTTTAATATTATTTGTTTTTATATTAATATATTTTTGTGGTTTTTAAGTTTTATATAAGTATATATAATTTAATGTATATTATATTTAAATAATTTAAAATAAAATAAACAAAATATATAGCACTGGAGGTGTTTATAAGAAAAGTTAAATCTAGAAATGCCCTCACAAGAGGTGTTTCTCTTATTAAACACTTGTACAGACTGCGTTTCAATTGTCCCTTGTGGGGGCATTTATTTTTACATCTTGCTTGTAAATATTACCCTCCTCCTAACATTATCATGCAGTTCCTCCTCTTCAAATGTTTCTGCAATGCTTTCTCTTCCTTTTCTTCCTCCATCAGAGCCTTCCACATATTTGGTGTAGAAAAGGCTCCATCAACACATATCCACCACCACCATGGCAGATCTCTATATATATATATTAATAATTTTTCATCATCATCTTTTCTTTTTAATTATAATGATAATTTTGTAGATGGGAGGTATAATTAATTTTTGTTTAATATATGGATAAAAAATTATATATGTGTGAGGGGCAAAGAGTAATTTTCACCCACCCAATTCCATACTCACAGGCACACACAATACACTCAATTATACAAGCAGGCACGCCCCTGTCTCCGCAAGTTCAATGATTTGGTCCACACACACATATATAAATAGACAGAAAAACAACCAAATAGAAATAAATAACATCTATTTTAGGATGAAAAATGTGATTTGAATCTTAACATCATATATATTGAGATGATATACGTTGGCGTGACAAAGGATTCATTTTGCGTTGAAAACTTTGATAATTGACACACAACAATCACAATCCAAAACTTAGTGTGGTTCTTAATTTGATGAAAATGTTAGGCAACTTCTCTCAAAATTAATTTCACATAAATTTATTATATATCCGACATGATAAATCAATCACATCATGGAGCGACTGGCTTGTTTGTTTTCCACGTTGGTTTTTGGATTCTATTCCCACCACCCGAAAAAAGAAAGAAAGAAAGAAAGAAAGAAATGAAAATGATGTAAAAAATTATTTAAATTATGTAAATAATATATTAATTCTATAAAATGATATAACTCTTTTGATGTTTCAAGGAATGTTTCTGTCATTAAAAAATTATAAAAAATAACATTTTTTTATTCATATTAAAAAATTTAAAACTTTTTATTCATAATTTTTGTTCATATATTAACAATTTTTATTTTTAAATTAACAATAATTTAATAAATATTCACATGTTCTACTCTACAGGTCCTAATATGCATCAGGTATTAAAAATTTATAATTTTTATTCTCATATTAATAACTTTTATTTTTAAATTAATAATAATTTAATAGTCATTCATAATTTTGCATCTCCAAGTCTTGATATACAATAAATATTAAAAATTCACAACTTTTTATTTACAACTTTTATTCCTATATTAACAATTTTTTTAAATTCACAATAATTCACTAATCATTCGCAACTTTGTATATGTAGGTCCTGATATGTATCAGGTGTTGAAAATTCGTAACTTTTATTTTTATATTAACAACTTTTATTTATAAATTTACAATAATTCAATAGTTATTTGCAATTTCAGATATTATTATTTTATTTAAGGGCAATTTTATCATATTGTTTAATTCTCTAATAACAAAAAAATTTCATACAATTTTAAAAAATTATATCATTTGATGAGATTAATTTATTATTTATAAAATTTAAATAAATTTTTTTATCATTTTTTCAAGAAAGAAAGAAAGAAGGAAAGAAAGAAGTAGCAACAGAATCAGCATTGTCGCCAAAGTGAAACTAAACGACCGGCTTGTTTGTTTTCCACGTAGGTGGCCTATGCCTACACAACATTAAACATAAAGCAAATTTAATGTATCATATAAAAATAGTATAAGTAGATATTATTATTATTTATTAATATCATTGTTAATCTATATTTTATTCACATCATTAATTTATTTTTCAAAGCATATCACTAGGGTTAGCCGGTGTTTGCACTTACTGATTAATTGATTCTTAATGTTAATATGTTTATACTGATTGTGTTTGGTGAAATTAATTTGCTTGTTCAACATAGAGTATAAATTTTTTCCTAGCTAGCGTGAAATTTTAGTGAATTAAATCAAAGACATGCTTTTGGTCTATTACTTTGATATTAACTATTATTCCTTGATTTCAAATATTCCTTAATTTCTTTAATTCCAAACACCAGCGATGAACCATAAAGCCAAGGCCAAGCTATTACTTAATAATTAACCGCTATCTACTTAATTAACCACAAAATAATTTAAAATCGTACTTATTCATATAAAACACGTTTTTTGGATAGTGTAAATATATTCTGATGAGACGAATTAACTTGAAGGGTCTAGTAGATTCATCTATTCCTGAAGAAAATGTAGAAAGCAAGATTATGATAAAAAGAGGTATGACAGCACTTGGTGAGAATTATAAAATTATATTACTTTACGTTTTGTATCAAACGCAGAGCAATCTATATGAAGATCTAATTACAATTTTTTAAAAAATTGAACCATTTAAATCTCATCTAAGCATTTTAAGTAACACATGATTTAGTATATAATTGTGCTCCAAAAAAATTGTTCTCGTGACTTAGAGATCATTTATAATTATTGTTATAATGTGTTATATCTCATGTATACTTGACTTTAAATTATATAATTATAGTTGTGATTGATATAACTCAATAATTAATTTTAAATCATTGTGATTTATGTACTCTTGTTGTTTTGGCTTTAAGCTCAATAAATTATGTGATTTAATATTTTAATTAATATTGTTATTTAAATCTTTCTCTCAATATGTCATCCACTTTAATTTGCTGGAACATCCTGATCTCATTTTAAACAAGACACAGGACAAATATTTAAAGGAAAATATAACTTTAAATTTTTACACTTTGTTCATAATTTATAATAGGTCCTTGTACTTTTTTTGTATGTTCTAAGTCCCTAAATGAACAAAATGTATGGACCTTAAAAGGATTTAGAATATTGAAGAATAAAAATGTAGAGACCTAAGATACCCAAAAAAAGTGTAGGGATCCATATCAAAATACAAGTAAAGTGTAGACATTTAAAGTTATAATCCTCTATTAAAAAACATAAGGCATTTTTTCAAAAGTTGAATGTTTAAAAAATGTAAGACATTTTTAATTTTTTTGAAGTGTAATCACTGTCTTTTTTAAAAGTGTCTCTATTGATAATGATTTTATATTTATTATGAAATGTTTAATAGAAATAAATATAAAAATATAAAATTAATTTAAAAATAAATAACTATTTTATTGAGGATGAAATTTAATTAAAAATATTTTATATTTTTAAATAAAATATTTTTTAAAATTTACTTTCATTATTTTTTTGGAGTAAGACCCATGACAAGGGTGTCCATGCCGTCCCGTTCCTTCGCGTGCATCGAGCATCTCTAGTACTGTACGACAGCATGAGGCAAGTGGAAATGTGCTTCAGTGGGGTTGAAGACTTTCTGAACACTTGAAAGGTCCAGAAATGGGCCACGTTTCGAACAACAGAACGTGAAAAAATATGTACTGTGTAATGATATAATTTGAAAGATGCGAATAGTAGAGTTGATTAGAAACATAGAAAATGCGGATGATTGGGTTAATTTAAATTCAAACATTATTAATAGAACTAATTTAATTTGAAAAATGCGAATGATAATCATAACATACTGTGTAATAATTGAGAATAGTTTTCCACGATAGAGTTTATTGGAAAGTGGAAACATAGAAAAGACATAGTACAGTCGAAACGTGGACGAAGGGTGATCGCTGGCCCCATATCAATACCAACAACCTTGATTCGCGGAATATTATCTCCGTGTCTTATTTTTTGGGGGGGGGGGGGGATCGATTCATATCAATATTGTTCCTTACTTGAAAAATTAGTGAATTTCTCTAATTTTAAATTAGTGAATTATATTTTCAGTTTGGTGACTTTTTTTGTGTGTTAGGTTGTATTGTAAGTTTTGTTTTGAGTCCTTTTTTTTTTTTTCTTCACTTCAACTATTAGTGTGTGTAGTTGTTGTTTTTTGTGATTAATAAAATGGTTTGTTTTCTGGCCCAAACAAAAAAGGTAGTGAATTGTTTAATGGGACCAAAACCAATTCAAAGACCAAGTATATACTAAGTCTATTATCTTGCATTTAGATCATATAACCTTGCATCTCAATCAATCACCTTGCATTTTATACACCAAGCCTATCATCCTGAATCTTAAATTTATGATCTTACATACTAAGCCTATTAACCTTACATCCTAAGTCTAATGTAAGGTCATATGCTTAGGGTGCAAAGTCGTGAGCTTTTCATGTAAGATGCCGGTTTGAGGTGTAAGATTATAAACTTAGTGTGTAATGTGTTCATTTAAAATGCAATGCTATTAAACTTAGTGTGTAATATCATT